CCCCTTACTGCCATCTTTTCCCCCACCCCCCTGTGGGTCCAGCTCAGGCTCCAGTGCCGGTCTGGACCTAAGCATGGAGCACATGGGCACTCTGCCCCCAGCCCAACAATGTAGTATCTGCTACCACCACAGTCACTGTTGTGCGGCTGGACCAGAGGGCTGAAGCCAAATCCAGAGCCAGAGAGGGTGAGTAGCAGTAGCATTGGGAAGGGGTGGGGGGCAGGGGCCAGGGCATGCAGGCACAAGAGGTGTGGGGGGCAAATGGTGGATGGGACAGGCACCAGGAGGCAAAGAGTAGATGTCAAGCTCCCCCACTGCCTGCCCCCCACTGCTGCTTACCCTACTGCCTTACCCTGCAGCAGTGAGGAGAGTGAATTTAAGGCAACCCCCCACCCCAATGATAAGATTCTATATATGGAAAATGATAACAAGATTATAATTTTTCCGTGTATAGATTCAGCTTACTGGGGAGCTGTCTTGAACTCAAAGTTATCTTGGATTCGGGTAGATATGGTATTGTTATGGCCACCATGTTGGGCATTGGTGATATGACAAGGAGCAGGGACATCGGTTTGATTGAGCTTTCGGCTGTCACAAAAGCGTTTATGGTGGCACAAGAGCAACTTCTGTTTTCAGTCCACATATCCTCCCATGCATTTCTACAAGGCAAAGACAAGAAGTGTAAATTGCATGAAACTATAGCTCTTCTGTCATTCATGTATTAGGTTGCGACAGGGTTGGCGGCTGTTTTACAAGGAGTTTAGATTAGGATTATATAGGATGGTTTGAACAGGGCTGATCTTGCAGCGGGCAGGCAGTTGGACTAGGTAGCCTATGGAGGTCTCTTCCAGTCCCACTTCTCTACAATTCAATGACTGAGCTGCCGGGATGCCAGTCCTACAAGCTGCCATACAGCAGCCCTTTAAAGAAGAAAAAATTACTTACCTCTAACAAGTCTGGAGGGTCAGAGCCGAGTAACAAGCCGGCATCTGCAGGCTTTAGTCTTATGTATCCTGGTTGCTCTGAGTCCAGTAAAAGCAAACAACAGGTTTCCAGTGAAAACAAAAGGGAAAAAATGATCCCTGAAGTCCAAGATTCAAAGAGAACTCAGGAAAGGCTTCCTTCAGGCTGCTCCCTCAACAAAAGTCTCTAAGAAAGGTGGCTTTCTGAAGCCCAGAGTTTAAGGAGTAATCATGTTAAGTCATAAAAAGAGGGCTTTCCTGATTCCCTTGTTCTTTTGGCCTCCGTTAAGGGATCCAGTTCCAATTACCCATTCCAACTCTGCTCCTCATGACACAGCTGGGGAATGGCTGCATTCACTACTGCTACCCTGCCAACCTTTGCTCTTGCAACATGCATCTCTAGTGCGGAAAAACACAATGAAAGGATACAGGCCAAGAAGCATGAGATGCTAATGCTGTTCAGCAAGGCGGACAATGGTGTCACACAACAGCCATGCCACCATTCAAGGGGTTTTTTTTGTAGATACTATCCAGGGAAGATTTTAATGAGAGATGTGGAGGAGGATAATGAACCAGCTTTGTCAGCATTTCTATGGAGCTCCACACAAATTTGAGGGGTAGTGCTGGAGAAAACATGAAGGAGCTAGTTAGAACATTTACAAATTGGTTTACCAAACAGAACGCATGCCAGAAAGGAACAGATCTGAGCCCTCATGTTCGCTTCAGGGATAAGACAGACAAGGTTCTCTGGGTAGAGGTGGTATCTTTGATTTGACCATGTAAATAGCTGGAAAAACTGTTCTTTGCAAGCTTTCAGGCACAAACACCCTTCTTCCAGCACTGGGGAGAGCCTGCCTGAAAGCTTGCAAAGCACAATTTTTCCAACTATTTAGTTGGTCTAATAAAAGATATCAACATTTACCCAAAGAACCTCGTCTTAGACCAACACAGCTACAACTGATAACCCTTCAGGGAAAAGACAACTTGATTTCCTAGACAAAGTCAGAGATACTGTTACATGCTTATTACAAAGAAGAATGAAACTAGCCACAACATATCCTGACACTGCCTGCATCTGTGCAGGGAGATTTTGGCGGGGGTTGGAGATCAGAAGCGATGTTTTTTGACTTGATGTAATGGAGTTGATGGCTAGACATCCACAAGAAGATGTCAAAGAGACAGGCCAAGATTTTTTGTCTGGACTACAAGAAACAGGTTTGAAGCTGAGAGGTAGAGTAAGCACAGACATGAAAGTTAAATTTGCAAGTCAGTTGACAAAACTACCCAAAAACATGTCACAGAGCCAAGACGAGGGGACTAAGGACAGAGCCCTATAAAATCCCACACAAAGTTGGGGTGGATGAAAGGGTTCCTCTCAAAGGACACATTTTAGGAGTGATGAAAGAGGTAGAGGAGAAACTGCAGAAGACAGTCTGAGAAGCTGAGGACACAACTTCAAGACAATGGTGCCAGAGGGAATGGACAGGTCAAGGAGCGTCCCAAACCTGAGTTTTGAGAGGTCATTAGAAGTGCTGGCAAGACTGGTTTCAGTGGAGTGCCAGGGGCAGATGCTGCACTGGACACAGTCTAAGAGGGGAACTGGGGAACAAACTCCAGACGGCAACTGAAAAAAAATACTTGCAGTCAGTTTAGAGAGGAAAAGGAGAAAGGTCAAAGCTGACTAACCACTCTGTAACTGGTGCTCTCCAATATAATCAGATCCTCCTCAAGGAGAAGGGGGATAAATGACAGTTCAGAATTATCTGCTACATCCAGGCCACCACAAGAAAAGTAATCGCGCCCAATCCAATGATTATTTTGAATCGAGCTACAAAAAGAAACTGTATTCAGTATTTTCACATAATTCAACTGCTAAAATGGGCTGCTAAAATTTCAAACACAACACAAGCAAAAAGCGTGATTGCTCTGTAGCTAGTAGGATCTCTGGACTCCACAAATCATGAAGCTCTTGGACGTTTGGCTATGAAGCCTCAGCAGTGCTAAAATTAAAAAGCAGTTAACAAAATGAAGGGGCCTTATGTTAAACTGAATGAAAGAGCTGTTGACGTCATGATGGATAAAAGGAAAGCAAAACAGAACGGATAAGGTGGAAGGACACAATGCACTGGATTGCCGATCGTGGGGCTGAAATCAGCCCCAGCTGTGATTCTGCGATAACCCTTGACACTTAAGTGCGTGTCAAGAAGAGAGATAAGCACTGAGCGGTGCACTGTTCAAGGCTGACATCACATTTACTCAGTCAAAGATTTCTTATCAGGGTCTGCCTTTATATTTTGGCATTGAAGATGGAAGACTCAGTACTGGCTAAGAACCTGGGATAATGTGTGTGTACTTCTCTCAACTGGCTTAAGGCAAAAAGATTTCAAATCTGACTTGTCCTTGCTGGAGGCATGGCATCACTGCAAGCACAGCTGGTACAGCTACGTTGATCCATGACATACAGCCCAAGAGTTTCAAGCTGCCTTTTTTGAGTTTTGTCAAGGAACTGCAGGTACTGTGAGAGAAGAGGAAGGGCAAATATTCTCAGACAAAATTTGCTAATTTTCAAAGGCTCCACACCGTCAGAAGCCGTAGACTATGCAGATATGCAAGCATTTTAACTCAGTGGAAAACAAAATAATGGTAAAAATAAAAAACCTGCCAGTGATGAACAGCTCCACATCCAGCAAAATGGAATAGAAAAAGAACCCTGATGAGGAATGGCAATTCCTCCAAGTCAGGGGTTTTCAACCTGTGGTCTGCAGATGCCCGGAGGTAGTCAGATTATGTCTAAGGGGTCTGTGATCAATCAAAAGTATGTGAATGCCCACACCTAACAATTCAAAGGGGTCTGAACCTCCATTAAAATTTCCAAAGGGGTCCACATATCCACTTGAAATATTTTAGGGGTCTGCAAATGGAGAGCTTGAAAGTCACTGTTCTAAGTGAAGCCAAAGTGCTCTCATAGACTTACCATAAAAGTGAAGTGAAATGCCGCTTGCCACACAAGACTTCTTCTAAGCTGGCTGTTTCTGTGAAGTTTAGCTAGTGTGTAAGCTCTATGGAGCAGGGACTAGGCCACCTTCTGGGTTTTCCATGCCACTGAGCTCACAACCAGCATAGAATAGTTATAACAGATATCTCAGAAACCTCCTAGCATCAAATTCAAAACCGAAGACCTTAAAAACTATATACCCAACTATTAAAAGATACAGGGTCAAGTGCACTAGCAAGAGTGGACGTATTCATTGCAAATTAATGAAGTATAATATATAAGAACATTGGTGAACACCTTAATATGCTTAGCCTACAGTCTGATGAAGGTATATGCTATCAGCAAGTATACAGTTAAGAAACTAGGTATCAGCAAGGCACTAACAACTAGGGTTTTAGCACCCTTACCAATTCAAGCATACATGAACCTCAGAAATGTTTTACCCTATGGACTGGGCAAACCTCATGGAATATTTTTTTTTTTTTTTGCAATCAGTGTTAGTTTTTTTCAGATCCAAATCAAATGAAAACCCTCTGGCAGTGAAAAAGCTTTTACTGGCCAAGCTCACCTTTTGCGATCTCATTTACACTCATCAAAAATTAGGGAGAAAAAGTTAAAAGGTTATTTTTAAAGCGTGGCTCACTCTCGCTGAAGTACGTGTTTCCCAAAAGAATGCGGGGAAGGCAAACGTGCACCCTTTTTCCTTAGCAAGGAAGCAGCTTCCTCATGGCCTCAGAGAAACCAGTCACAGGAAAACGCACAGAAAATGTGTCTACCGTAAAACAGCATGCGATAGTTGCAGCGCAGAAAAGAAGTGAAATGGCGATCAAGGGTGCAGTCGTTAAAGAGGGCTTACCTGCTGCTCCTTCTGCCTGGCAGCACCGAGCTCAGTGAGGGAGGCGCTCAGCTTTTCTTGCTGTTCGGCTAAATACTTCTGATACAGGCTCAGAAGTTCCTGGCATTCTCTGTACTGCTGCTGAAGAGGTGGGATGTTGAGTTAAGGGAAAAAATATGCTTTATTGAAAACTAAAAGTCAAACACGAACTCATTTATTCTGTGTAAAAACTGTTTCGGCCCTGTAGCAACAAAAGCCATGAAATACAGAGTTCAAAGGCAGATGCTGCACGTGTTTATGAGAGATGAGGGGGACAGCTAATTACAACAGATCTGCCCAAAGGGAAATAAATACCCAAGTGAAGCCTTATACTCCCAACTCCTGCGACAGAGCAAGGAAATTTTTCCCATCTTTCTCGAACACTGGAAGGGGAAGAGTGCAGGACCTAAGTTATGGCAGACAAGGTTCTTTGGGTGAATCCAGTATCTTTTATTACACCAATTCAAATAGTTAGGAAAAATATTTTTAGCAAGCTTAAGGTAAATGATGACACTGATTCAGGTGGCACAATTACAACTCTCTCGGCATAGGCACTACTATCTATAATCAGTGAAGGAGGACAGCGCCAATGTTTAGTCCTAAGTCAGACAACTGAGTAAAGACTCCACGTTTAAAGCACAGCTATGGGTTCACCTGCTTGCATTTCCTAATCAGATCCCTCTGCCGAAGTACCGATGACTTAAAAACATAGCTGCAGGTGCAGCCTGACAGGCCTGTCAGAGACCACAATGATTTTTTGGATTGTAATCTACAGATGCAGGAAACTGTGGCGCTAGCAAGGATATTAGCAACAGTGTCCTGCCTTGCTGGCAGCATTGAAATTCCAAAAGGAGATAAATCTGTTCTTCACCTGTCATTGTGCAATTCCCTCCCTTGCTCATTTAGCATGGTAAACCATTTATGCCCCCCCCCCCTTTTAATTATGCATGCAGATCGGATAAGGGCTCGCTGTCCAAAGAGATTACTCTGAATAAATACTTTAATAACAAGTCGTCACAATTAAGGTAAGGAACAAAAACTTCTTCCATCTATAAAATGGTGTCGGAGTTACAGATGTCCTTAACGGTTTTATGATCTAATCATCGCTTCTGGGCAAATTCGTGTTGCAATCATTTTTGCCAATCATGGCTGCATAAATAACTCACTGCTTTGTTATTTCCTGTTACGATCCTGCTTAGAAAAAAAAAGGTGCGCCAAATATGGGATGAGCAGTTTTTTTGGGAGGGAAAAGAAGGGACGGTATTAAGCTCTGATGTTAAATTAATACAGGAGAGCATCTCGAACACCTTTACTCAGCGTCTTGAGATAAAGGAGGGTACAAACAATGGTCTAAATAAGCTAATTGCTTTTCACAGTCAGTCTGTCAGAAGCCTGGGCTGTTTTACATTTCTGTGCATTTTGTCAGAGCACCAAAAGGCTGAAGTGATTTGTGGTGGTCTCAGGAGTCTCTGCCAGCTATGATGTATATAAAAGGATTTTTTTATTCCATCTGTAACCATAGGCAGTAATGTTTATAGTAGGTGAACATATTAGCCTGGACGCAGGGCATGAATTTTACTCCAGAAAAAGCCCGTTCATTTATACAGCCTAAGAGTTAAATGTCGGTATTTGAAGACAAATTATAGGCAAATTCATTTAAACCCATGTTATGTGGCAGAACATAAAAAAACGGCAGTCCTATCTTCATCAATTCTTTATATCCCTCTTAATTCACTGCTTCCAACAGCTTCACCCCACACAATGGGATTTCACCCCACTACTGGGCCAAGCTTTTGCCTTTAGATAAGAGGGAGCAGGATGCTTTGGGGTGCACAAATTATGGCCATGAATTTGTCCTTGCTTTTGCCAAGGAATTCACCATTCTGTACATCAAGCATGAAAGCTATATGGTGTGTTATTTATGACAGCAGAACAATTACAGTGGAAACAGAGCACGAGAGAGACTCCTGGACTGAGGTCTATGGGCTACTGTCAGCCCTCTGAGCATTTGCTACATCCATGATGCAGCCTCACCTTGCTTCTAGCTGCTAAAATTTTGTTAAGCAAGTCAGCAAACATTACACCCTTTCCCCAAACGTAAGCAATTGCTAACGTTGTCAAAAGGATGGCATGAGATCAATGGGAAGGGAGTTGTCTAAGGGTGAATGGCAGCCCAGGTGACCATGAAATTCTCTCTGTTAAGATACAGTGACAATAGTTAAGGAACCCTGCACTAGAAAATAAAACCTTGTTCATTCACACAATCAGGCCCATCCACTGTGAAATAAGTAAGCAAACTAATAAAAAAAAAAGCAAGCATATTGCATCTCAGTAGATTCTGTACATTCGGGCAAATGTAATTACTTTTAGCACAATAACACTTTTTTAACATGCTAACACATTTATTGCAATATAATATTTTAAGTAGCAAGCTTTAATTCTTGCTTCCATTCTATTAAATCTTTGCTGAAAGTGGACAGAGAGCACCTTGTTTTGAACAAATTAACCAGCTTCTAAACCCTACACAGCTACACCAATCAGTTTGGAGGTTTGCAGACAGAGTGAAGATGAGTATATAAGTAATTAAATAAGATAACACCCGTGAAAACAAAACACGTTCATAACCTAATTGGAAGACACTGAGAAATTTGATGAGAGGAGAAAAAAATATATATCTATTGGACAATGAGAACGTCAGTAAAATATGTCTAAGTGCTCAAATAGGATTTTTCTTTAAGACTTCAAGAGTCCAAATACTGGATTAACAAGATATTAATTATCTGAGAAGTGTTGTTTAGTTTCAGTGAAGCAAATTTGTGCAATAAATAAGAATAAACACTCAAATTTATTACTGCAATTTATTACATGCAAAAAGCGTGTTCATGCAGTATTAAGAGTTTGCAATACAAGAATCCCAATAAGTCAGCAAATGAAAAGGTATAAGCTTCAACATCCACTCTCCAACTACACATGCTGGATATTTTATAGGATATATTTAATGCCAGAATGAAAATCATGGATTCAGAGCTCATTTATGGCTCTCACAGCCAAGAAACTCGTTGGGGGCTGGGATTGTATTGACGCAGGGGGACTTCTGAAGCACTCTGTGTTAGTGGCATTGCACTCGCGGAGGCCAGCAGCAGACATAATATGTCCTGGGACACACAGGGTGGAGGATAAACATACCACAGCGGTGGCCCTCACTCCACGCTTGCTCAGCATAGCCCTTCACCTGCAAGCAGACTTACAGGCCCAGGACAGCAGTGACCAGGCTACACATTCGTGCAAGTAATGGCATGATAAAATGAGAAATAAAGGCACAAAGGTATGACACAAAATATATGTAATCACTTAGTGGCTGGTTCTTGTCACTCCTTTACCTGAACACACGGCCAGTGCTCCCGTCCTCTGAAGCACAAGGGAGGCTTTCAAGACTCCCCTGTACTCCAGAGGCTGGAAGTGCCCCATCAGGGTGCCTGGGCAGGGAGCGTATGGGGCACGTCCATTCAGATCAGAGCTCCCAACCACAAGAGAGCATCATGCGCTGCCGTGGCTGGAAGCTTTGATCAGCAGATCAGGGCTGTCGGGGGAGCACAGGAAGCCAAGCTTGCTACTGGCCAGTGCAAGGGGAACCTGGGATCAGGCTCCCCATGTACCAGCAATATGGCAACAGCAGGATCTGATAGTCTTCCTGCCATGCATGCGCCTTTAAATTAACAAGTCGGGTTCAAAGGGAGGGTACGAGACCAAGACTCCTTCCAACCCCTTCAGCTTACCCCCTTTCTAGGATTACTAACAGACCAGCCATACACAACAGCAGAGCTCCTTGTATCCCAGGAACTGGAGGAAGGCATGAGATATCCTCCAGCACATCTCCCCAGTGTACAAATAAAAGATTGGTTGAACACCCGCATTTCTTGACTTGGGAAACTTATCTGGATACCTGATGCTGCAGCACTGCAGAGGTCCCCAAGCCACCACCACCTTCCTGTTTGGTTCTGTTTCTAAATGAAAAATCAGAGAGCTCTGGAGCTTACAAATCTTGCCATCTTCAGCAGCTTCCCCAGCAATGGTTCTCAATTCTGCATACCAACCTGTGCAACTCTAAAAAGCAATAACCTGAGCAACTTCATGACAACCAAAAGGCATGCACTATCCCAGGTGCTGGCCACCTGCAGACCATGGGCTTTCACACCCAGTCCATGGAGCCAGTGGACCAATGGCAAATTCAGCAGGCAGTTTGGAAGTAGTGCCTGACTTCAGAGCAAGCTGCTGACCCCTGCACTATCCTGCTAATCTAGACTACATATTTTTCCATTTGAGCTAAGAGTCAGCCTCTGAGTGAGTACTAGTAACTCGCCAAAGTTCTGCCTTTTCTGACTTATTTCTTTGGAAGAGAGGCAGGTTTTCTTTCTTTTTTTGGAAGAATAAGTGCTCGGCCTTTGTAGCTCTAAAGGAAATGCCTGTCTTATGGCTTTTCTATCACTAAAATGTTGAGGCAAACTATGAAACCAAGCATTGGAACTTAGAGCCCCAAACATTTTTCAAGAGGACAAGTTTCTAGTGAAACTGTTTTACAATTTCAAACCAACGACAAGGCTTGGTTAAATACCTTCTATACGTCCCCCCTCACCATAGTGTTCAAGTGTCTTACAGTCTTCACTGTATTTATCCTCACAGCACTCCCGAGATGGAGAATTATTGCCCATGTTTACCCGTGACACTGAGACAAAGTGACTTTTCCTAAAAAACACAGAAGAACTATAATGGCCCAAAACCCAGGGGCCAAAATGGCCCTTCTAAGCACGGGACCATCTTCGCACAGGTTCTCTCCTTTGGATCCACACGTAAAACAGGCATGGTGCATGCAACTTTGAGAAATAGAAGGCAACCAAGCCCATCAACCCCACACCCTGTGGAAGATTTGTTGCAGATCCATGAATTATTAGAGAAAATGCGGCAAGGAAGAGAAAAACAAAGGGAAGAAAAAAAAGTCAAGCTGTAGCTGATGAGATGCAGCAAGTTACTGCATGGTTGCTTTGTCCCTCTAAAAGGCAGAGAGTACAAGAATTGGGGGCTGTGCTTTTGGCAAGAGATAAGAGGACTTGTC